TCAGATTCATTTTTTATTCGATTACAAGTATATCGGGATTTAGCCGAAGGTGCTGTACATATTCACATGCATGTAAATCAGTTTATAGATCTCTCATGGTATAAGGAATGGGATACCCATGAATAGTCTAGCATTTCGTGTCTTATTTAGAATGAACGATTTTTTTTGCATACATGCACTAGGGACACGAGGCTCTTTTATACTTTATTGTTCCTAATGCCCGTGAAATAGATATTTAACCCGATTTGACATAGTGAAGTAAAAATTACGTTATTGCTTCGTAAGGGCGTTTTCTGCCGAAAAATATACTGTTTATTGTCAAGATCGCACAAGATCCGAAAAACATAGAAGATTGCTCACGTTCATTTGCCCGTTGTTTTAAACCCCCTATTCGTGTCCCATACAAACCTACCAACGACCTATAAATGGAATTTTGTTTTATTATGTAGAATGGATGTTGTACCCCCTGGTCCGTTAGCTTTGCTAACATCTAGATCTGTAAATCGGTAGATCAAGACACTCAATTCCCATTCTAACATCAGGGCAGTGGATCAATTCGCGTAACGCTGTTAGCATATCTAACCGTAGTATATGTATTGCGCCAGAAGTTTCTGGAACAAAGCAAATATCACTACCGGATTAATAATTTATTGATCTAACCCCACAATCTAGACCCATAGATTTGCAAATATATGACGGCATTTCATAAGATCTTGGCATTGTTACAAAAATAGCACATCCTAGCCATTATTACGAAAATAGCATATCTAAAAATAAAAACACTGCGGAAATAGCAAAAACGAGAATGTCTTTCTGCGCATTTCAGGTAATCGATCTCACATGACAAAGTTACTCTACTGCGCATAGCATATAATGCGATATATCACTACATTTTGACTACAGTAGTTTTTTGCACTTGAGTGAGGCAATATTATTTGGCGCTTCATTATGCGGTGATATGCGCATGCACATGTTAAAGTAAACTATATATAATACAATGAATTATATGTAATATATTTCAAATAAGAATCATTTTATTTAACACAATTTTGCAAGAGACATTAATTTTTTTTTATGACATCATTCCTATTATCCTAGCAGAAAAAATTCGTTGTCTCTTTTGTATACTAGATATACTAGATAATGCAAAGAAGTATCTTATTACCGTTTTTTTGGTGAAGCCTTAATAGCACTTTCATTAGTAAGAAATCTTCGCCGAAATTTACATTTTTGTTTATTAAACAAACTTTGAACAAAGTTATGAAGATTCATGACACGTTGCTGATGATAAAGATAAATGTTAAAAAAGGTATTATTTACGATAAAAACACTGTGATGCAGATTATTACCTTAAAAGAAAACATTATTTCTATAATATTTAAAAGTTCTACAAATTGACCGGAATTATCCGGAATTGTAAATCCTTCAAACTGATCTACTAGATATAAGCCGTCAATATAATGCATAGAATAGAAACAAAAAGTTTTTCCTATACAAATGAAAGTTAGAAAATGCCAAACGCCAATAAAAATAATGAAAGCAAAACATGCTATGGATTATGTGAATTATTACTATAAACAAGAATGCCGAATGTTTCAGCTTTACGAATTCCGTTTTCATCCACTTCTTGTTGACAGAGTAATTTTCGTAATCGGAATAATCCAAGTTGCATCGCTATCAAATTTAATAAATGATTTTGTCAATTGAAATTAAGAAAATCTGCACTAATTTTCCCACTTACCTTTTAACATTTTCTCTTGATCCTCTGTCATTTTTTTATCGTCATGTATGCAGGCGTTACCTACGACCTCACCGAACCCTATTTGATAATCAACATTGTTTGCCTTCATTATTATTACAGCGTCATGATCCCATCCAACAGAACGTCGTTGCCCTTGTGGTCTTGCAGAATTTTTCTGATCTTTACGATCTGTGTTTTCGACTTCACCCCTTGTTAACAATAAAACTTATATTAGTATTTCATAAATATTTTCAAGAGATAGAAGATCGTAAGAGAAAACCTACGTCATAACATGAACAAAATTATATGTGTCTAGAAAAGTATCCTCTATAATACGATTAACAATCTTATCTCTATAGGAATATTCGGATAAATTACAATCGTGAAGTGGGTTTATTGGTAGTTGGAAACACAGTAAACTATAATAGAATAAAATAATCAATGTAAAAGTATCCCCTCAAAAAAAAGAACCAAAAATTATACTTACAATGCATTACAAACTGATTTGATCCATTGCGTAGGCCATTCTCGAGTAAAACTATATTTGTCACGACTTACAATCACAGTCTCATCAAATAAAACGGCAATTTTGTTCAAATTCACATCATATCCGATCGTCGCATCATTATGCCATTACGGTACTTTTTTAATAAGTTATTAACATTCTCGTTCATTCCACTATTGGAAGGTACCGTGGTCTTCTCAGCCTGGAAAAAACCCAGTATTGAATTAGTTTGTTAAAAATAATACAGATATGATAAGACAACTAACATCAAACCAATCTGTTTCTAGTTTTGACCATTCATTTTTATTGAGTGTTAACTTGATTGCATCACAATCGTTTTCCTCCGGCAAAAAGACAATTTTATATCGACCAATTCCACCAGCTTTCATCAATCTCTCAACGATTGGATTCTACAACAGACAAGTATTTGTTAAGTGATGAACTTTGCGAATAAAAGCAATATGTGTAAGATGTGTAAGATATCAGACCTCTGACAGCGTCATATCTATCTCGTCAACTTCGACATCGTTTTTTTTTGATGGTGTCGATGACTCATGTCTAATATTACTTCGATCCAATCCTGCTTCTTCGACAACATCCGAAGAATCTTCATTATAATCCGGTATAATAATTCTTCCACTTTTAGTCTTACGTTGCTTTTGTTTATGATCAATTTTGGAATTAGACGTGGAATGCTCATCATCATTGAACTATATGTTGAGAAGGAAAGTGAATTCACTAAAACATCCTATTAACCATTATTATGTAAATCACCGAGACAAATCATAGAAATTCTTTTGCACCTTTTCCAATTCAACATTATCTGTCGTTTCTTCTTGATAATGTTTTCTCTGATGATTATCAATATTTTGGAATCCAGAATTTCCGGCTGTTAAAATCTGGTGTTCTACCTAAATGATAAAAAATATTACTCAGTATTATTTTTATTTTGTAAAATTTCAGTTCACAAGCCCACCTGTAGCGTCTTAATGTTAAGTGTCGTATCCGGCTTCATTTTCTTTCTTTTTGCAACCCAGTGCTAAAAAAATAACAACATATTAAATTTAGAAATACTAAATGCGTCGAACAAAGAGTTCATCACTGTAGACCAAAAAGTCACAGCTTGCGCACAAGCGTCGAACCAAGAGTTCGTCACTATAACCAAGAGTCATAGCTTGCGCTTGAAAATGAACCAAGAGTTCATAACTGTGACCAAGAGTCATCAGCTTATCTTCTAAGGAAGAACAAAGCGTTCATAACTGTGACCAAGAGTCATCAGCTTTTCCTATATCCGTTAAATACGCTAAATACCAACAAACAAACAACCTTCCAATAATCCAAGATTTCTCGAGCCTTTCTTTTTCGCGTTTCGTCAAATTTATATTCTGATTTTGCAACTTTTCCTAGATCCTTTTTTATACTATCCAATAATTTCTTTCGTTCCTTTTCCTTAAGATTTATACGATAATATTCTATTACTTTATCGTACGTCCAATCTTTGCTAACTACGAGATTTTTACACCAATACTCTTTTTCTACTTCTACACTAGATTTCCGAAATAAATTATCCCACACAAATTTTCGCCTATCTATATCACCCCACCCGCACATATTATATAAAATAATATTTCCCATAAGGGAACTACCTCAAGATTAATAAATTTCGAACCAACTGAGGTAAAAAAAAAATAATCAATGCAATATTTCCGATTCATACTTACCGTTACATCTCACTTTCAGAATATTCCAGTCCGCCTTGTTTTCAAGAAATTTGACGCTTAATTTTTTTATCACCAGTACGATATTGCACCAAGTATGGCATGTGAAGATGCTTATCATAAATTTTACTACGCTGATGATACACGTGGAGTTGATTAGATAAGATAATATCTCA